AGATACATCTCTTTCAAAAGTGGCTATAAAATTTTTAGGTTTGCTGTTGAATTAATACAGTTATACAGTATTGAACTCAGTATAAACCCTGTAAGACATAAAATTGAATGACTTTTTAACCTTTAAAAAAGATTTCCATTTCATTTTAAAACATGCTGTTTCTTACAGAAAGACTCATTGTTTTTGCTAATAACATGTGTCTCTAATCTGTATGTATCTGATTATTACTAGTCATAGTTGGTTGCACTCAGATCCTTGGCACCTGTGTATGTCTATAAAGTCATCGGGTAGATTACAATGGTAGTGTTTATCACCTCTACTAATTAACATATTGTAAACTTTTATGCTTCCTCCTCAAATATAATTCATTTTTTAAAATTTGTTGATTTTTTGTCTGTATGTATATCACACAGAACATCCCAAACCATCTTATTTATCTATACACCCACTTCCCAGATGGCACCCTCCCATACCCATCCCCAGCCCTTATACTCTGTTATCCCTGCTACTGTCCGCTGTGTTGTCAGCACCCCCAGCCGTTCCACACGACTTGTCCATCCGGTGAATCTAGTCAGCCTATCTAGAGGTCTTTGTTTCAGCAAGGTCACATCTAGCAGCAATCAGTTGTCAATATTCCTTTAGATAAAATTGGGGTCTGCTGTTCATTTTCCCAGTTCTATGTTGGGTTACTATCTAGGAGTCCCTTGGGCCACCCTGACCAACAATTCAAAAGAAGGTATCTCCTATCTGGCATTGTTTCTTGTTATGTAGCCTTTAACTATACATATGGACTCTTAAAAAATTATATTGACCCCTTTAATCTTTGGTTATACCTTCCTTTTGGGTGTTTAAGACCATACAGTTGGCCCAAATAAATCAATTTATTTTTACACTTTTTTTAACCAGTTCTGCGCCTTCTGCAACTTTTGGAAGAGTGAGTACTCAAATTTTTGCCTGTGTTCATCAAGGATGTCTGGGATAAAGGCAGAGTTGGTAGTGATGGTCTGAACCACAGCTCAGCCCACCAGCATCAAGCAGAACCAGTTTTGTGACTTTGCAAGCAGAGTTCTTGGTAACAATCTGCTGGCCTTGCTAGGGGAACTTGGAATGGCTTCCAGGGTGTTTCTTTTCTACTAATTAATACAAAATTCTTGTCAGTGTTCCAATGTAACCTGGCTGCCTTTCTGCTCCTCATATTGCTCCACTCTCAGTTCAGTATGGCGGCTCTGGCCTGGGCTACTTAGAACATGTGCTGGTGATGGAGGAGATATCCCGTGCTTCTGGAGCAGTGGGGCTCAGTTATGGTGCCCACTCCAACCTCTGCATCAACCAGATTGTGCGCAATGGGAACGAGGCACAGAAGGAGAAATACCTTCCCAAGGTAAGGAAATGGTAATGAAGAAACCATTGTCTCGAGACAACCACTACACATGCCCTCTCCCCTTAGTATATGCTAGATGTGTTTTCTGAAACTTGCTGCCATGAATTAAATATTAGTTAGGAAGGAGACTAGAGTTGCTTTAAAATACTTAACTCAAAAAAATTGAAAATGAGCTAGAGAGATGGCTCAATGGTTAAGAGCATTGGCTGCTCTTGCAGAGGACTGGGTTCAGTTCCCAGCACCCACATGGTGGCTTACAACTGTCCGTAACTCCAATTCCAGGGAATTTGATGCCCTCTTCTGGCCTCTAGAGGCATTGCATGACAGGTGTATTTACATACATGCAGGCAAAACAAAATAAAATAAAAATAAATAAATTGCTGGACATGGTGGCACATGCCTTTAATCTCACCACTCATGGGGCAGAGGCAGGTGGACCTCTGTGAGTTCAAGGCCAGTCTGGCCTACTTAGCAAGTTCTAGACCAGGTGGGGCTACAAGGAGACCCTGTCTCAAAAATAAAAATAAATAAATAAAAAAAAAAAAAATTAACTGAAATGGGCAGAACTCAACTCCTGAGTTGGACAACTGGCATTTGGCAAGGAATTTAAGAAACCTTTGACCAGGGATGTGGTGACATGCTGACATGCATATAGTTTGAGCTACTTAGGGGAAAGAAGCAGGAGCATCACTTATATCAAGGAGTTTGATATCAGCCTGGGCAACTTGGCAAGATCCTGTCTCAAAAAAACAAACAGGGGCTGGTGAGATGGCCCAGCAGGTAAAAGCACATGCCACCAAGCTTTATGACCTAAGTTTAATCCCTAGGACCCATGTGGCGAAATGAAAAGAGAGAACCAACTCCTGCAAATTGTCCTCTGCCCTCCACATATACACTGTGCCATGTGCACACACACCAAATAAATACATAAATAGATAGATGATAGATAGATAGATGATAGATAGATAGATAGATAGATAGATAGATAAAATAAAGGCTGGGGGTGGGGCTCAGTGGTAGAGTCTGTGCTTAGCATGTGTGAGATCTTGAGGCCAGTTCCCAGCACTGCCAAAAAAAGAGTGGAAGGGGGTGGGGGGTGAAAGAAAGGCACTTTTATCTGTGTAGATACTGCACTTTCCCTGATGGCCATTTGAGTATGGGCAGGAAGAAGCACTATCAGTGAGCTGCTGCAGGGTGCTTCTAAGGTCCTAACAAGGCTAGTTTTGCTTTTCCTTATAGCTGATCAGTGGTGAGTTTGTTGGAGCCCTGGCCATGAGTGAACCCAATGCTGGCTCTGATGTTGTCTCCATGAGGCTAAAAGCAGAAAAGAAAGGTAAGTCCACATCCAGCTAGGTAGCTGAAAAAGGCAGAGGGGCAGACCATATAGGCGTGAGGGACTAGCAGGTGGGTGGGCTCTGTTGGGTTTCCAGAACTGTTTCTCAACAGAGCACCAGAAGTTCTGTGGACTGAAGTTCTGTGGAGAGATGGCTCAGTGGATAAGAACAAGGCTGCACTTGCAGAGGGCCCAAGTTTGTTTACTTATACCTTATGGTGGCTGACAACCATCCATACCAGTTCCAGGGGATCTGGCATCTGCAAGGCATTGCATGCATGTAGTACACTAACATACGTGCAGGCAAAACATTCATATACATACAAATAAAAAGTTCCCTGAACCATAAACCAACTGAGACAGCCAAGTAGGCTTGAGCAACTAGCCAATGTCCTGTCCTGCCCTTAGGTGATTACTACATCCTAAATGGTAACAAGTTCTGGATCACTAATGGTCCTGATGCTGATGTCCTAATTGTCTATGCAAAGACAGACCTGAATGCCATGCCAGCTTCTCGGGGCATCACAGCCTTTCTCGTGGAGAAGGTAAGGTAGTAAGTAACAGGTAACTCCTTTCAGCTGATCAAGAGTAAGATCTTTGTTCTGCTCCCTGGAGGTGGGGGGTAAGCAGAAAGGAGATTGAAGAAGATGGTCCAAAAGTCAAGTCCAGGTCTGGGGATGTGGTTCAAAGGTAGAGCAGCTACCTAATAAACAAACCCTGGGTTCAATCCCCAGCACTGTAAGACAGAAAAACATGAAGTCCCAGGGAGGCTGGGTCAAGTCTGAAGACAGTAAAGCTGTCCATGAGTCAGGCTGTACATAGTCCAAGAAGAGGAAAAAAGAAGCCACCAATGTTCTCGGTGGGCTGAGCAGAAGCAGTGGGGGAGACTGAGGTGTGGGTGGTGAATGCAGGTGGTGATGGAGAATGCACCTTCCACAGTCTTGACAAGGAGAGCAAGAAGCTAGAACAGGGGTTATAACTAAACTTGGGAGTTCCATTTAAATAACAAAACAAAACAGGAGCTGGGAATGGTGGCACATGCTCGTAATCCTTGCACTTGACAGACAGAAGCAGGAGGATCACTTCAAGTTTGAGGCCAAGCTGGTCTATATAGTGAGTTCCATGCCAACCTAGGGCTACATAACAAGACCCTGTCCAAAAAAGAAAAAGCAAATAAAAGAACAAAAACAGGAAATGGAAAATTTTTCACTATCGATAAAGGGAAAACTGGAGAAATTTTGAGATATGTGAGTCTAGTGAACAGGTGGTGGTGTCACATCATCTGTCTGACGGTGGAGAAAGAGGGCAGGTGCCCTTGAGGCCTGGGAACCCCAGCTGCAGGAGAGGTAGTTGAGAGTTTGAGTTCAAGGTACAAAGGGTAGTAGTGTGTTCCTTGAGTAGTGGAGGAGAGCTGGCTAAGATTGTAGCTAAAAAGGCCTGACTGGGCTGGAGAGACGGCTTAGCAGTTAAGAGCACTTACTGCTCTTACAGGTGACCCAGGTTCAGTTCCCAATGTCATGTTGTACAGCTCATAACTGCTTCTTACTCCAGGATCTAATGCCTTCTTCTGGCCTCCTTCGGCACCTACACACACATACATACATATCTACACGTAAATGAAAATGAAACTTTTCTAAAATTTATTTTTATTATTATTTTTATTTTATGTGTATGAGTGTATTGACTGCCTGTATGTGAGTGCTCCTGTGTCATGCAATGCCACGGAGAAGAGAGCTTCAGATTCCCCTGAAACTGGAGTTAAGGATGGTTCGTAGCTGCCATGTGGGTGCTGGGAATCGAACCCAGGAGCTCTGCAAGAGCAGTCAGTGCTCTAAACCGCTTAGCTATCTCTCCAGCCCCAAAAATAAAATAACTCTTATAAAAGGCGTGACTGAGGGTGGACACCTCCAGGTTGTGGAACACCACTCATCAGCTTGGAGGCAGTAGGAAGCAATGTGTGCCAGAGCACTACTGGGCACTTGGCAACACATATGTATCTGAGTAGTCTGGGTGAAGGCTTGTGGGTGGCTGAAGTTATTCCAAGTGAGACTCCTTTAGGAGCAGAGGAATTGAGTGGGCTGGTGGGAGTGACAGCCCTGAGAGATGGAAGCAAAGTAAGGGAGAGTGAGGAGGGTTAGGGACTGAATGTTTGTTTGTAAAAGAACTGCTGCTCTGAGAACTGGGGTGGATTTGGGAATGGGATGCTGGTATGTGAGGCAGGTATTGGGACCCGATGATAAAGTGGGCCTTCCCTATACTAGGGTCCCCTTTGGGGCAAGTGTAATCAGGGCCTCCTTTGGTTTCCTGTAAAGGGCCTGCCTGGTTTTAGTACTGCCAAGAAGCTAGACAAGCTGGGGATGAGGGGCTCTAACACCTGTGAGCTCATCTTTGAAGACTGCAAAGTCCCTGGTAAGTGTCCTGAGAATGAGGGAGTCCCTCCCTGACCACTTTGCAAGCTGGAAAAACCCATCTCATGAATACAGAAGTTTGCTAGTGTCAGTTCCCCATGGTGTGCAGCTAGACCATAGGCTGGAGTTGTTGGACAGCTGTATGACCTAGCCACCTCTGTTGCTGTATGTTTGACTAAGAGATGAAGGGTGGGGATTCCTCTGTGGGTAACACACCTTGCAAGACGTAAAGGTGAAAAGTAAGGCCTACCCTAGTCCACTGATGTCATTCAGACTTTCTATGCTTGTACAGCCACTGTGAGCTATTCAGACTTTCTGTCACTGTGACCTTAGAGAAAGAATTTGAAAAAGAAAACTTATTTTGGCTCATTGTTTTCCATGTCAGCCTTTGATCCACTGGCTCCATTGCTTCTGGGTCTATGGTGAGACAGAGCATCACAGCAGAAAGGATTAGAGGAGCGGAACTGCTCATCTCATGGAGGCCAGAAAAAGAGAGAGAGTCAGGAAGAGGCCAGGATCTGGGGAGTCTTCAAAGACAGACCCAAGTGGCCAATTTTTCCCAACTGAGCCCTGCCTCTGAAAATTTCAGATATATTGTTTCCCAATAATGCCATCGAATTATAGGTCAGCCCTCATGTTCCAGTCACGTCCCCAACCCTACCTCAGAACACTGTTGCACTAAGAACCAAGCCATCAAAAGCCCATCTGAATAAGCTGACAGAAGCCAGACTCAATGAAGGAGAGAGGCAATTTGATTTCAGTAGGAATATTTTCTCCCCTGAGATGCAGCTGAAAATGTGACACCATGTAGCACATGTGTAGCACTGTGGGAGAGCCAGCTAATACGACCCAGGGCATGGATCTGGTTGCCAGTTAGGATTACTTTGTACATCAGCCATAAACCATCTCTTTCTCTGATAACCCATCATCCCAGAACACAGTGATGGTCAGAAAGAGTCTCTAGAAAGGGGGAATCCATGCAGATCCTTCTTTGTGGAAAGGAAAAAAAACTGAACCAACAATGTTAAAGGCAGGTCAGGGTGTCAAGTTTCTATACTCAGCTTCCTGCCTGTACCTCCCAAGTCCATACAGTGTCCTAGCTTACTAGGAGGACAGGTGCTCAGCAGCTTCTGTTGCCTGAATGCCCGTCTCCAGACAAAACAGCTTTCATGGACACTGCTGGGAGGTAACACTGGACTAGAGCAGGCAACCTAGGGACAAGTAGTTCTGATTTCTATATAAGTAGAAATCAAATATAGAGAAGCAAGGAGGGAAGACTTCTAAACCAATCAGCTTTTCTTCTTTCCCATCCTAGGGAGTCCAGAGTAAGAAGGGAAAGATCTAACAACTTGGGGCTTTATATGTAGTGTTGTGGATGTTGTGGGGTCCTGAAAGCTCCCCTTTTGACTGGAAGTTGCAAAGTTGATCTTTTTCTCTCACTTGGAATCCTGGCTGAAGGTCAAGTAACATACTTTTATTCCTTCTGTGAGAGCCACATTATCAAACCTAGTACCTTCTATAAAAGTACCTTTTATAAAAGGCTGTGGGCAGCCCTTTCTCTCTGACCAGCATTTATACCTGCAGCTGTTAACATCCTGGGCCATGAGAGTAAGGGCGTGTACATACTGATGAGTGGGCTGGACCTGGAGCGCCTGGTGCTGGCAGGTGGTCCCCTTGGGTAAGTGTGATGTTTCATGAGGAAACTGGGGAACCTCTCTCTGGATGAGTGTGAGACTTGGAGGACCTGAGTTCTTCAGGCTTCCTTGTCAGGTTAACAGCCTTGCCCTGGGGGTAGCACAAAGGGAGCTGCCTCCTAGCCTGTCCTTTCTCCTGGAGAATCTCCTCCCACATTTAATTTCTTCACACTGAAGAGAAATGTCATTAGGTGACAGATGAGATCTGAGGAGCAGTTCTGCTTATAAGTTAATGTGACCGTGAAGCAAGAGGCCCAGGCTCTGGCACCTGGCTACTGCAGCGGTCATGCCACACCCACCCCTGGGGTTAGGAAGGTGCACAGGAGCTGGACAGGCAGTACTGTAGGGTGACAGAAATTTCTCAGGCCCCTTGCTTTCTCCCCGAGACTTCAGTTGTTTAGTCACCCCCTCTGCCCCCGCCATTCTTTCAGTCCCCTGGCATTCCCCCTTCCCCCAGATTGGACAATGACACACTTCCACAGTGTCTTTCTTCTTTCCCATAGGCTCATGCAGGCTGTCCTGGACCACACCATTCCCTATTTGCACGTGAGGGAAGCCTTTGGCCAGAAGATTGGCCACTTTCAGGTGAATACTTGATGAAATTTCCTCTTTTGTTGGGTTAATAAGAAAGTGGTCATGGATTGTGGGACATTTATTGTCCTTCTCTAGCATAGTGATTTTGAATGGCTGAAAAGCATCTGCTTCCACATTCAGCCTGGCTTTGTTTTCAGAAAGTCCATCACATTGTCCTACCCAAGATGAATGAACTAGACATTGTAAGGCCTCAGAGGAAAGCATGCAAGCTGAGGGAGCTTAGGAGAAGAGAGCTGCATTGCTAGTCAGACCCTTCTGGCTGGAGGAGGACTAAGGAAGCTAGTGAGGGTGTGGCAGAGGGTACCTTGAGGATGATGTCGCTAAGACATAGTGCAGCATCCATGCAGGAGGCAGCTCTCTGGCCTCATCCCCTAGAGCTGTTTCCATTGCTGTCATCCTAGGCAAGTTTGGGCTCTTCTCTGCCCCTGCTTCTCCATCCCTGACTGTCTAGTTGTCCTTTGCCACTCACATGCTTTTGGTAGTGTCCTATCATGTTGACTTGTGACCTCCCTCGTGCCTAGCTGATGCAGGGGAAGATGGCCGACATGTACACCCGCCTCATGGCGTGTCGACAGTACGTCTACAATGTTGCCAAGGCCTGTGATGAGGGCCACTGCACTGCCAAGGTAAGGGCCAATTCCTGGGTAGGGAGCGGTGGGAAAGCAGGTCATCCACTGGGACCTGCACCTACATGCTTACCCTGCTAAGCTGAGCTTCATCCCACAGGACTGTGCTGGTGTGATTCTCTACTCAGCCGAGTGTGCCACACAAGTAGCCCTGGATGGCATTCAGTGTTTAGGTGAGTGGCTCACCCCCTGCCCCCACTCCCTACTTCTGGGGTTTCTTTTCACTCCTCACTCTGCTTAAGGTAGAATCAACCGTGCTGGCACCTCTCTGGGCTCTGTCTGCCCCAGTTCAGAGGAAAGAAAAAAAGCAAATGAGAAAACCAAAGGCTGTAAGCTGGCCCTCTCATCCTCCCTGCCTGGTCTGTGATCACTAAGAAATGGAGAGAGAGATGTCTCAGGTAGAGCAGCCCCATTTCAGTGTTGGCCAGTGGTAAAGGGCACAGACTCCAGCCACAGGCTTAGGTTGTTGTTGTTGTTGTTGTTATTATTATTATTATTATTATTATTATTATTATTATTTTGGTCTTTTTGAGGCAGGGTCACCCTGTAGCCCCAGCTGGCCTAGAACTCACTATGTATACCAGGTTGGCCTAGAACTCACAGATCTGCCTGCCTCTGCCTCCCTAGTGCTGGGATTAAAGGCATGCACCACCACGCCCAGCTTCATTTTTATGTATTCGTGTATACTGCCTGCATATATATATAAATGCACCCATGTCATGCAATGCCCACAGAGATCAGAAGAGGGCATCAGATCCCCTGGAATTGGAGTTATGAAAAGTTGTTAGCTGCCATGTGGGTACCATGATTCAAACCCAGGTCTTCTGCAAGAACAGCCAGTGCTCTTAGCTGCTGAGCCATCTCTTTAGCCCCTACTTTGAACTTATAATTCTCCTGCTTCCACCTCCTGAGTGCTGGGATTACAGGCGTGTACCACCATGCCTGGTTTATGAAGTGCTGGGGCTTGAATCCAGGACTTGCTAGGTAGACACCTCCAGCCAAGCTACACTCGGCTCCAGGTGCTGCACTTCTTTGCCTGGCGTCCCCAGCACTCTGGACAGTCTTCTAAACTAGTCCTGTGCCTGCCCTACCCCCAGTAAGGTGCACTACTACCCTTGTTTCTCATTAATCAGTCCTTCCTCCCATACAGTCTGTTCCCTTCTCTACAGTCTGTTTCCCATTTCTCTACAGCCTGTTCTTCATTTCTCTACAATCTGTTCTCTGTGTTTCAGGAATCTTCTGGGTTCTGCCAATCTCCAATCAAAGATACTCAGAAAAAGCTGGGTGTGAGAGTGCATACCTATAACCCCAGCACTTGGGAAACAGGCACAGGATGTCATGAGTTTGAGACCAGCCTAGGCTACATAGTAACTTCTTGGCCAACCTGGGTTGCAGTGAAACCCTGTCTCAAAAAAAAAGGCTAGGGCTGTAGTTAGTTGGTGGTGTGCTTGCCTAGTATGCACAAAGCTAACACCTAGCACTGCATAGACCAGGTGTTGTAGCACACACATGTAATCTCAGCACTCAAAGAGTTAGAGGCAAGAGGTTCAGAAGTTCAAGGTCATATTTGAGTACATAGTGAGTTGGAGCCCAGCCTATAATACATGAGACTGTCTCAAACAGAAATCATGGACAGAAGGAAAGAAGGAACAGACATATTCAGAAAAGAAAATTAACACCTGGGTTGGGGGTAGTCACCACTGCAAAAACCAAAAGGAGGGTTAGCAAGATGGCTCAGTGGGTAAAGGTGCTCCAAGCCTGACAACCTGAGTTCATCCCCAGCCCCCACATGGTGGAAGGAGAGAGCTGGCTCCCATGAGCTGTCCTCTGTCTTCACATGTGTGCCATGACACACATACATTCACAAACACACACACACACTAAAAAAATTTTTTGTTCAAGGAAAAAAACTGTATCAGAGCTGAACATATACTGCTCTTACTCCCTAAACAATGCAGTATAACAGCTATTTAAAGGACATTAACGTTACATTAGAAATTATGAGGAAAGTAAACTAGATATATCTAAAATATGAACTGAGGTGCTCTTACTCCCTAAACAATGCAGTATAACAGCTATTTAAAGGACATTAACGTTACATTAGAAATTATGAGGAAAGTAAACTAGATATATCTAAAATATGAACTGAGGTTGTAATTTGATGATAGGCATTTGCCTAACATGTGTGAGGTCCTGTGTTCAATCCCCAGCAGAGAGAGGCAAAGATGGAGATTAAGAATGGGGAAGGTGGGATGGAGAGCTAGCTCCAGCAATTGGAACTGGCTGTTCTTGCAGAGGACCCGGGTTCAATTCCCAGCACCCACAAGGGAACTCACACCTGTCTATAACTCCAGTTCCAGGGGATCTGATGCCCTCTTAGATGCATACAGGCAAAACACTCATACACATAAATATAAATAAATAATTTTTTTAAAAATTAAAAGAGAGGGCTAGAGAGATGGCTCAGTGATTAAGAGCATTCATTGGCTCCTCTTGCAGAGGACCCAGGTTCGATCCCCAGCACCCACATGGCTGTTAACAGCTGTCTATAACTCCAATTCCAGGAGATCTGATGTCCTCTTCTGACCTCTGAGGGCACTGCACTACATGAGTACACTTACATACATGCAGTCAATACACTCATACCATAAAATAAAAATAATAAATAAAATATTTTTAAAGAAAAGTTTAAAAGGAGGGGGGAAGGCTATTGGGAGGGTGTACATAGGTTAGAAATGTACATAAGTTATATGCAAATACAATGCCATTTTATCATAAGAAACTTGCTTTATAATAAGGACGTGCTGGAAAACAATACCCAAAGATACTGAGGGATGACTCCTTGGGCTTCTGTTTGCTTTCCTCGCTTTGCCCCCGTCCTTCACTTGTCTTTCTCATCTCCCTACATCTGGTTTGCAGGTGGCAATGGCTACATCAATGATTTCCCCATGGGCCGCTTTCTTCGAGATGCCAAATTGTATGAGATCGGGGCAGGGACCAGCGAGGTGAGGCGACTGGTCATCGGCAGAGCTTTCAACACAGACTTCCACTAGCCCCAAGACCCATCACCCCTTGGTCCCAGCACCTAGAGGCCTTTCTTTGGAAGCAGAGACATGGCAGCCCTCTAACCTGTCTAAGGCAGGCTCTGCTGCTCAGCTGCCCTTCTTGCCCCAGCCCTCTGGCCCATGTGAGGTTGAATTCTCCACGCCAGCTGCCAAGTACTGTGGGCCTCATAACCACACCAGTCAACCAGCCAGCCAGGAAAGCTTAAAATGGACTGAAGGAAGGACATTGTTTTTTCTGGGGCTTGTTGGGAGGGCTTCAGTGTCTCTGTGCCATTGCTGTCCAACCTCTGACCTGATGCTTCTACCTCTGGTGGCATGTGAGGGTATGCAGGCACCCAACTTCTTTCCTGGGCAAGCCTCTGGCAGGAAGCCCTCTCTGTTCCAGTGTAACAAAAGTGTTGCCCCCTTCCATTTACTTAAACTTAGTGGTCTCTTTTTTGGGGGAAAGGCAAAAAGCTTGCCCTCATTAGCTGTCTCCCAGGGCATTGCTCCCTAAAACGCTAGAATGCCTATGTGGTGGAGCCCATGAAGGGGCAGAGTCCATGGTGCAGTGTGCTTGTGGATGGCATGCTTGTGGAGGATTGGCTCGTGCTAGCATCCTTGTGTACCCCTGAGCCCTTCTGCAGCACTCTGTCACAAGCTAGTGCTGGGCCTGGCCATGTGACCTTCTACAGCTGACTAAGCAACAGGCACAGGCCCTGCCCTAGCTAGTCTGGGTCGCCTGGCTCAACTCCAGTCACAGCTGCCTGTATACATTTCTCTAGATACCTTATGGCTAATTTTGTTATAACTGTACAGAGGCTGCTGCCATTTTGTATTAAACACATTACAACGGAAACCCATCTGGTCCTAAAGCAGTGTTTTAGAGAAGTGAGGTACTTTGGCTCCTGCCCTCTGTCTGCATTCTTGTGTGTCCTTGAAGACTGCCTGACCCATGTCCATTTCCCGCCCTCCAACCTGCTCTTTAGTAATAGGACAGGAACTTAATAAAACCCTTAGTACACAGGAAGTCTGAAACTCAAATCTCCCAGTCACTTTCTTCCCTTGGTGATGAGACCGAACCCAGGGCCTTGGGCACTGTACCACTGAACTACTACCTCCCTCTCCCCCCATCAACTTCTCCATGATTTTATTTTGGTCTCCCTATGTATCCCAGGCTGGCTTTGAGCTCTAGCTCCTCCTTCCTCCATCTCCTGCATGCTGAGATTACAGGCATGAACCACCATGTCCCGCCTAGTGATTGCTTTAAAGGAAAGAATTGAGAGGCTGAAGAGATGGCTCAGTGGTTAAGAGCACTGACTACTCTTGGAGAAGACCCAGTTTCAATTCCCAACACCCACGTGGTGGTTAACAACCATCCATAACTCCAGTTCCGGGGAATCCGACGCCCTCTTCTGACCTCTTCAGGCATTGCAGGACACAGGTGTACCTATCTACATGTACATAACACACATCAAATTTTAAAATATAATAAAAAAATTTTATTTATTTATTTTATAAGTGTATTGCCTGCATGTGAGTGCACCTGTGTCATGCAATGCTGCGGAGATCAGAAGAGGGCTTTGGATTCCCCTGGAACTGGAGTTAAGGATGGTTTGTAGCTGCCATGTGGGTGCTGGGAATTGAACCCAGGTCCTCTGCAAGAGCAGTCAGTGCTCCCAACCGCTGAGCCACCTCTCCAGCCCCTAAAATATTTTTTTTTAAAAGGAAAGAAAGGCTGGGTGTGGTGGTGCACGTCTTTAATCCCAGCACTTGGGAGGCAGAGGCAGGCGGATCTCTGTGGGTTAGAGGCCAGCCTGGTCTACATGGTGAGTTCCAGAACAGCTGGGGCTACAGGGAGACCCTGTCTCAAAAAGACAAGAATGAAGTGAGTTCAGCATGAAACTAGAACCATGTAAATTTCTGGAGGCCATCCCCAAGAGTTGTTTTTGAGGCAGGGGCTCTCTGTATAGTGCAGGCTAGCCTAGAACTCAGACTCCTCCTGCCTCTGCTCCTAATTGCCAAGAGCACCACCACACCTGGCACATCTCCAAAGGTTTTGTTGTTGTTGTTGTTTGTTTTGTTTTTATGTCAGGACAATTTGACTTTTTCAGTCTCAGAACTAGAGCTAGGATCCAGATGTGCTAGCACAGATGTATCCCGAGAATTCCAGCCTAGGACCACACAGCATCCTAGGTGGAACATAGTCTGAGAGGAATGCACCTGGAGTGCTCCCCTCTCTCCCAGTTCCCCAAAGTCAAACTGCTTTCTTGGCAGAGCCTGGTCCTACCTCTTGGTCCTGGCCTATAGCCAAATGCTGTTCCCAACCTGAGACTTGAAACAGTTGGCGTTAGCTCCTCACCAACCCCAGTCCAAAGAGGTCAGGGCTGTCCCTTAACTTTCCCATCTTGCACCATACTGTGTTGATGAATGGAACAGAAATGATGATCAGCTAAGACAATTAGCTGGAATGACTCACTGGAGATGTTCAGAATGCAGCAAGAGGGCTCTGTGGGTAAAGGCTCTTGCCGGACAACCTGATTTTGAACCCTGAAAGGAGAGAAGTGACTCTGACAAATTGTCTTCCAACTAAAGCATGTGTGCTATGGTATGTTTACTGGTGTGTGCAAGTACACACGCACACATACACAGAGTAAATAAACATTTTTAAAACTTTTCAATGCAGCAGAATTTAATGTGTCATCCAGCCAGTGTCTGCTGGAGCTCTGCCAACTTAGGGTAAATCTTCCAGAGGTTCAAGTGTTAGGACCTTAATCTCAGTCATATATGCTAATGGTATTTGGAGGTAGGACCTTCATGACATTAATGGCCCTTATAAGAGGGAGTCTTACACTAGTATGCCTGCTCTGTTGTGTGAGGTCCTCTACCTTATGCACCAAAAACACTTGAGAAGTGGGTGCCATGCTTTTGGATATCTAGCCTCCAGCACTTGGAGCTAAATTTCTATGAATTATTCTGGGGTATTCAGCTATAGCAATAGAAAACTGGCTAATAAAAAATACGACTGTTCTGATCTTTTTTTGTGTACACAGGAGAAATGCTGTGTGTGGGGTTTTTTGTTTTGTTTTGTTTTGTTTTGTTTTTGGTCTTTTTGAGACAGGGTCTCCAACATAAAGTATGGTGACAAGTAAATTCAGAATCTGGTAACAAGTAAATTCAGAAGCCTGGGTCCCTCCCGCCCCAGACCTAATCTCACCTACGGAGTAACACAGGCCATGGCAAAGTTTTACAACAACCCTTCCAGGGCCTGGGGAAGGTTGCTCTCAACGACTTGAATCTTAACCCTACAATCCAGTGATAATCCCTTACATGGGTATCATTTCACACATTGGCTCCTTCCCTGATTTTTGCGGGAGGCAAGGTTGCTTAAGGACCAGAAATGTTAGTTTCTGGCGCCCCCAGACCTTGGGACTGTGGGTGAGCTGGCCACGCCCCGACTCCGGAGAGGCTGGGTGAAGCCAGAGATGGTGGAAAGCCACGGCTTGCAGCATTAAGAAAAATCACCTGCCGAGATAGGAGCTGGGACCCTCGGACCTGGGTGGGCATTAGTCCCGGCCCGCAGCTTACGCTAGGTGCTGGGCGCTCCCTGTCTTCCTCCTCCTCCAAAGCCCCGCGGGCCACAGAGCGGGCGTCTAACTCGCGGGACCTGCTCCGGAGCTGCATGGAGCTCGCATGACACCTGCCGGCCGCTTGCGGTGTTGCAGGCGCGGGTCTGGCCGCTCCACTTTTCACCAGCGTGCCTAGGGTGCCCGGTTTCCATTCTAGAATTTCAGAACGGAGAGATTAGTGGAACTGTACTGAGTGAGAACATTAAAAAGATGCCTAGGATGCGTGGTTTCCGTTCTAGAATTCCAGAATGCAGAGATCAGTGGAACTGTATTTGACTGAGGACATTAAAAAGGCACAATCCCCTATCACCATCATCTCATACAAAGAAGACCAAAAAAAAAAAAAAAAAAAAAACATAAACAGAACAAAGTGATGTATTTTTAATATTTTTGTTTGTGCCTTATGTTCAAGGTTTTTAGAAGAGTGAACTCTGGAGAGATGACTTGGTGGTTAAAAGCACCCAAGTTCGGTTCCCAGCACCCACATGGCAGGTCACAATTGTCTGTAACCAGCTCCGGAGGCTCCAAATTCTCTGCACTCAGGGCACCTACACTCACATGCACATACCCACACATTAAACAAATAAATTTTCAAACAGTGTAACTTTGTTGTTTTGTTTTTTGGTCTTTTTGAGACTGGTCTCCCTGTAGGCCCAGTTGGCCTTGAACTCAGAAATCTGCCTGCTTCTGCCTCCCAAGTACTGGGATTAAAGGCATGCACCACTACACCTGTTTTAATAAAAGAAAAGCTTGTCTCTTGTCGCTCCTATACCATTCTTCCTCCCCTAGGACAAAACCACTTTTGAGTCTGTATGGGGTTTCCTTTGGCAATTCATGCCTCTAAGTGCTATGGTACTTATCGATTGACTTAATTGTAGGTACTTTCTAAGGATAGTTCTTTAATGTGCATAAATGTGATTTATGACAATCTATTACATGCCCATATTTTTTCACTTCCTCAGAAGAGTCCTGTCTACCAGGAGACATTTAGAAAAGCCCTGTGGTAAGATGAGACAGAGACCTTGTCCACATGCTGGTCTCTGCTCCTGCCCCCATTCTGCTCCAGTGCTGGAACCCAGAGCCACACTTATGCAAGGTGGGGGTTCTGCTCTGATGTGCTCCACCTAGTTCCTCTAACGTGGAGCTGTTCTGGAATTTGGCTTCTCCATCTCAACAATCTACCAACTTGCCTCCTTCTAGTCCAGATCCTTCAACCCTTTCTCTAGGCTGAACCAGAGGGAATAGTCAAACTTCCCCTAAAGCCTTCCATGTTTCTGGCACCTCTAGTATCAAAAGGTTTTAACTGGGCTTGGTGTGCATCCTGGATTCCCAACACTCAGGAGGCTGAGGCAGGAGGACTGCTGAGTTCCAGGCCAGCCTAGGCTGGCTACTTAGTGGGTTCAAGACAAGTCTGGGCTATGTAGTAAGACTGTTTAACAAAAAAGCCCCCCAAAATAAAGATCTAATGTAGTTTGGATGATCTGGGGGGGGGGGCTCGTGTTTATTTTGTGGGTTTTTTTTTTTCCTTTGTTTTTGAGACAGGGTCTACCTGTAACCCCAATTGGCCTGGAACTTGCCATGTAGACCAGGTTGACCTTGATCTCACAGAAACCCACCTGCCTTTGCCTCCCAAGTGCTGAAACTAAAGGTGTGTGATGCTACGCCCGGCTTAAGATCTAATGTTTTAGCTGAACGATTTACTCCCAGATACTTTGGAGGCTGAGGCAGGAAGATCACTTAAGTCCAGGTGTTTGAGGAGAGCCTGAATAACACACTAGATTCAGTATTTTTTTTTTTTTAAAGCAGGGTCTCCCTGTAACCCCAGCTGTCCTGGAACTCACTATGTAGACCAGGCTGGCCTTGAACTTACAGAGATCCACCTGCCTCTGCCTCCCAAGTGCTGGGACTACAGGCATGTACCACCATGCACGGCTGATCCTTCTCTTTTTAAAATACTGAATCTGGCCAGGCGTGGTGTCACATGCCTGTAGCCCCAGCACTTGGGAGGCAGAGGCAGGTGGATCTCTGTGAGTTCAAGGCCAGTCTGGTCCACATAGTGAGTTCCAGGACAGCTGGGGCTACAGGGAGACCCTGCTTCAAAAAGACCAAAAACAAAAACAAAACAAAACAAAAAAAGGACCAACCAGGTGTGAATATTTTCAGTTCCAGCACTGGGGAGGCAGAAACAGGAGGATCTCTGTGAGGTCAAAACCAGCCTGTCTCCAAAAACAGGAGATGATCTGAGGATTTGTAAGGTAAACAGGGACCTTGTAGCCCTTCACTCTGCTCTTGCACTCTCATCTCTAAAGCCTCAGTGCTGAACTCCAAGACGTCTCCCCAACTCTCCCCTAGTCCTCTGTCCCCACATCATCCATTCTGGTCCTCTTCCTTCCCCTTTGTTACATGTTCATCAAGGAGCTTGCCAGGCATGCGAGGTGGGGACTCCCCTCCTCCTGTGCTCCACCTACTTCCTTCAGCAGAAAGCTATTCTAGAATACGGCTTCTCCTGCACCCACCACCTGCCCAGAGGCTCAGAGAGGCTAGCCTAGTATCTCCTAAGCATTTCTTGGATTCTGTTTGCTTATAGATTCGCCAGGTAGAACAAGCATTGGGAGGAAAGCCCCCATCCCCACCCCCCGACCCCGCCGATGCCGCTCTGTGTAATGGGTTGTTTTCATTTAATGTGTATCTGTTTCCCTCCCATTAGGCTATAAATAAGAGGTAGGCCTGTGATTTCACTGTCTTTATCCCATCACCACCAGCACAGTTTCTAGCATGCAACAAGTGCTCAGCCCTTTCAAGTGTTTATGGAAAGTGTAGATGGGTAATCAGGTGACACCTGACCCACATTTTGCTGATACCATAGTTATTTGTGTTGTG